ATTTAAGAAAATGTGAATGTTAATGTGATTGTTAACCTATAGATGTGTGAGAGTGTGCAATACGAACCAAATTCGGATTGAAATCGAAGTTAACGATGATCGTTGGATGTAGCTAGGGGTGTAAATGAACCGAACACAAACGAACAGAGCTTGTGTCCGTGTTCGGTTCGTTTGAAATTTAGTTTGTTTGAAATAAACTCGTGTTCGAAATTGTTCGTGAAGTCACTGTTCGTGTTCGTTTCTTAACGAACGAGTCGAACACGAGCCGAACACAAGCTTTTCGCGAACGACGAGCTAGTTTGACATCCCTAATATTAATATATATAAATAATATATAATATTAATTATATAACTTATATTATATAAATATATAATATCTATATTAGTATATTACTAATATAGTATATTAATATATTATTTTTATTAATTTATTATATATTATAATTTATAAAATTTAATTTTTTAAAATATCATAAATTTTTTATATATAACTATTTTAAATTATTTTATATTTCGAACAATATCGATTCGAAAACGAACGAACGCATCACTATTCGTGTTTGGTTTGTTTAGCTAATCGAACGAAAAAAAATTGTTCACGTTCGTCTCGTTTACTTATCGAACGAATCGAACATGAACTCATTGACGAACCGAACACGAACTGTTCGCGAACAACGAGCTTTTTTGACAGCCCTAGATGTAGCACCATGCCAAATGAATTCAAAGTACCCCATTTGTGGTCAAAACTTTTGAAACACTATTTATTCATAAGGCGAACTTCATCAAAAGGCTAGACTATGAATATAAAACAAAAAATTCACCTATATGCCAGAAAATGAGTGACTGATAAAAATTTTTGGCAAATTAAATATATATTATTAATATATTAAGTAATTATAAAGTTAGTATTTAAAGAGAGAGAAAGAGAGTTTCTTGATATACATATGTATCGAGTTTGTCATCATTTCTCTACTATCTACTTTTAATCTCACAGTCATAAATTTTTATAATTTAAAATTTAAATTCCTGAATCGAAAGTATTTTTCCTTTATTTTGTGGGTAATTAATCATAAGGGGCTTGTGTTTATGGAAAATCTTAGCTCTCAGATTTGCTAGGTAATATCTTATCTTCAATATAATTTTCCTTCTAAAAATTTACCCGGAATTTAATGCAAAACTCTCTCATCAGCATTTGGAGGGAGGCCGGGGTGCAACTTTTTTGAGCGCACAATGATAATTATTTACCATCATTACCTGAAGATCTATTAACATCTTGGTATGATAATATTGAATAAATTATTTTTTTCACATAATATAACAACAATAGATTTAGATTGTCCTCTAATGTTATAATTAAAATTGAGAATTTTTCGAGAATCACATGAGATTTAAATTTATACAACTACAATTAGATTGCCAAGCTAAAAAAAGAAAAAGATGAAAAAGAGAAAAACTGTAGTTACTTTTTCTATATTTTATGCAAATGAATATTTAGGTAGTAAATTTGAGTATGGTTGAAATAAGCTTGTGAAGGTAAATTTGCATAGGAAGGATGAAATGGGAATGATTATTTTATGTGGACTATAATGGTTGCACAAATTAAAGACAAGTTGATGGAAAATAAGTTTTGGTGGCTTGAGCTTATATAATGGAGAGCAGAAGTTATATCACTAAAGGGGTTTGATAAAATAATGCGAAAGAATTATAAGAAAAACAATTAGATTAAAGGTGAAATGTTTAAAATATTTACGCAAGGAATGCAAAATATAGAGAACTCCAGCATTTGATTCATAAAATTGGCCTCAAATAGTCAGGATAATGTACTAATGATTATTGCGAATGTTTATATTTTTTTCCCAATCCCCATTGATGATATTTTGTAATAAAGTTTGTCACACTTCCTAAGCAAATTCACACAAATATTTGAGATTGAGGTGCACGTTGTCTAGGTGGACCAGTCAAAATGGGAAAAGGTCTGGCTAAACATACTTTTGCTTGGGAATGCTGATTGGTCCTCCCGTGCAAAAATGAGCTCAATCCCATTTTATGTTAATTTGTTTGAGGGGAGTGAAGCTTTGTTTCTTTTGCCGTTTGTTTCTTCTGCAAGTGCAACCACTTGATCAAAGAAGTGTCTCTCCCAGCATTGATATATCTAGTTCTCCAAGAAGCCTGTAATTTTTTTTTCTAATTACATTTATAGAATCATATATAGCTACTGATCCATGATTTGCTGTTCGTTAGTAAAACCTTCATTCAGAATTTTCTTTATTTTGTTGGCTAATGCCATAACAAAGGATTAAAATAGGACGGAGTTTTGTTGGCCGAAAATTGTGACGCGTGGGGTTAAATTATAAAAAGCATCGGCCTTTTGCTTTAATGACCCATGAATGCATAATTGGTCAATAGGTAATTCCAACCCATTTTAACGGAACTTTTTTCCCACATTTTTATCCTATAAGCATTTTTTTTCCCGTTTTTTTTTTCCCCATCATTGTAAGCTTCACCTTCCTTTAAAATTATTGGTGTAACATAGGAGCTGATGTAGAGAATTCCATTGCATGAGAACATTCTCATTAAAAGATGAAGCAAGTTCAATCTAACGAATAAAGTTATTTTGCACTCTTGTTGTTAAAAGATTCCATGTTTTTATTTCCGAACCAGGAATTTTAAAAAAAGTTGTTTTGGTTTCCATTCTATCATTGTCATATCTTGGGTTCAGAATTCGTTGTATTTCGTAATGCTTGATTGATGAAGGAATATATATAGATATGATTTATACTCACAAAAAGAAAATTGATATACAGACAATATAAATTATAGAAGTGAAAAAGAAAATTAAATTTTATTTCACTACTAATATAACAAAAAGAAGAAGTGAGAACAAACTAAAAAGGATTGAAAGGTCAAATGAATGAACAAACTTCCAAAGACTAGCATAATGCGGTAACTGGTTCATAAATTGAAAGTACCAAAAACATCCTAATACTGAATATTCTACTTGTATGATGACCACCCACCAAACATATTGGTAGAACCTACTATTAGAAAAAATCAATGAGTTTGAGGATCAAATTTAGCAAATAAATTTTATCTATTAAAGCATAAGTGATAAGGTATTGGGGCTCGCAACATTAATAACAAAAAATGGATATTTAATATACATATACAAGCAGTATAAGCGTTGTCATTTATTGAACATAGTTACAATGACATTGCAACAACAAAAAATTATTATATGTTTACACAATTTAGAGTCTAATTATACTTATGATTATGAATATGAGTGATTATAATAATGCATTATTATGCTAATATCTATCTGTTGTAATATACGGCATACTTTGTTTTGTCTATACATAATATATCAGTCATTTATCATTACCTGATAATATCTGAGCAAGTGGGTGTGTGTGGGTGTATATGTATATGTATATGTATATGTATATATATATATATAATCTTATTTTATGATACTCTGCAAAGAGGAAAGCTAGATTTCAATCCCATGAAAATCCAATGATTTCTCTAAAGATTTATTGATTCAACTATGGATTAATGAATCACTTAATAACGACATAATATTATGATCTGGCTTACTCATGCCAGATTATATTAAACCATAGGGAAAAACTTTGAAAGCTTTAGTTAATCCAAACCCGGCTAATTCTAATTTTTACAATAAAGTTAAATTAAGAACTTTCTTTAAATTATTAACTAATAAAGAGGAATTTTACTTAGCTAAATATAAAGTGTCTTAAAATATAACACACCTTAAATTATATTAATATAATAATTATTTGTAGAAAAAAAATTAATGATCAATATCTTCGATTAAAATCAGGCTTAATAGAAAATTATATTATTTTATATATAAGGAAAAGGATGCCAAAAAAGAAAGAAAAAAGTGAAAGGGAAAACAAATGATACAAGGAAGAAGAAAAATATGGAGGTAAGTCGACTACTGGGGTTTCGGGAGAAGGACGGAAAAGATTTTATGGTTGAGAATGTCGACAACTGCCAGAGAAAAAAATGAAGGATAAAGGATAGTCGTAAGGCGAGATGGTTGCTATCAACCGAAGGTGGATATGAGAGAAGGGATTTAGCGACTGCAAGGAGAGAGGGCTATGATATCTTACCCTTCAATTATCTTAAATCGGAAGGGAGGGCTATGTGGGGAGCATGGGATTTCAGTTTGCAGGCATCAAAGTTGGTGAGAATATTGCATCCGGACTCTAGACATAAATTTGTATCCGGAGTCCAGGGAAAACTTGTCACATGGCAAGTGGGCTCACTGTAATGCACTAGTCAGGGGTAATTTTTAAAAAGATGTGGGGCCCATTTGCCACGTGGCAAGTTTTCATTGGACTCCCGACGTAAATTTGCATCCGGAGTCTTGATACAATAATTTTTCTCAAAGTTGAGCATGCGGAAGTCACACTTTTTGTGTCAGTGTAGGGGTTAGTAAATACAGGAAAAAGCGAAGGGCAGGCAGTTATGCTCTTAAAATCACAAAACTATAGTTTCTATAGTTTTGATTTTTTTTTTTTTTTCAGAATTCAGTTTAATTTTGGTTTATATTTTTTCATTGTTCTTAAAAAAAATTTGGCTATTGATTAGATGGAAAGTTGTTTCACATATTTTATAATTTATGTCTCGGTCTAAATAATTAAATGTTTTTTAAAGTTACTTAAAATAAAAATAAAGAAAACTATTTAATTATTGCTCAGGTTACAATGCACAGGATACTTGCTTAGACTTCATTCATTAAACTCTAAAAAAACTTGTTAGTTCAGGTGAAACTCCGACTTCATCTGCAATTTTGCTGAAACTTTCTATATGTTATTTCAGATTAATTTCAACCAAATTCATTAATAGTAAATCAAACCCAAAATCAATGCTTAAACTTCTATTGGAAATTAATCATTGGAACTTAGACATATTAATCTCTAAGCTTCAAACAAGCATCATACATTGTTATATTATATTATTCTATTTTGCAGACTGCAATGTTGCAGAACCTGTGATTGACGACATGCTCGCAGCTACAGCTAGCGATATTTCGATCCTTAAAACATTTGTAGGGGACAGAGCCACGTGGAAGAATCCTATTCATCCATGGCGAGTCGATCCAAGATTCAAGCTCAGGGGTGTACCGACTCTCATTCGATGGGAGAATGGTGCCATCACTGAACGTTTAGAGGATGATGAGGCGCATATTGGAGACAAAATACATGCTCTTCTTACTGGGAATTGATCTTTCTTCTACTTAGACTACTAGTAGTTTTTATGAACTTTATTAACAATAAGAATAAAATATAGCAAACCTTCTTAAGATATTTTCGTTGTTTCTGGCTGTTATAGAAGTCGCATCATATTGCTGTTAACGATAGCACTTTTATTGTTCTGCATAAATGTTTTGGTGGTATTTGCATACATGGCTGTTTGTTTTTTGGGGAAAATGAATAAACGATCAGAAGGCCAATTATATGTTTAATGAGGGCCAAATTTGCACTCTTGAGATTATAAATTTATGTTTATCCAGAATTTGCATTTACATCTTCATGTCATCATAAGAACTTATTTGAATAAAGCGAAACTTACATGCATGCCACACAATTCTTATATATTTACATGTCTAACACCTAAAATTTAATATTTACATGTAGGGATAATTGTACTTTTTATGTGATGTCAAAATTTGAGTTGTAATTATTTAAATATGAAAAGTTATTTACAAGCGTTTGGCCAACTGTTGTTTTTAAGGAAAAAATATTACATCAGTACTACGCACGTAGAGTAACGTGCGTAGCAAATAAAATCACGCCACGACACCTTGCGCGACAGAGAAAAAAAATGTCGCAGTAATACTGGAAGTATCCCCCCTCCCGTGTTATTCATGTGTTATTGTGTCTTGGGAATATTCTTGGTGTTATAATAACATCAATAACACATGAATAACACACAACAATACATGAACAATACGGGGGAGAATATTCTCCCGTATTACTGCGCAATTTTTTCTGTCGGGAATATTCCTCGTGTTATTCAGGTGTTATTGTGTGTTATTTATGTGTTAGTGTCTTGAGAATATTTTTGGTGTTATAATAACACAATAACACATCAATAACACATGAATAACACGCAATAACACATGAATAACACAGGAGGGAGTATTTTCTGTGTTACTATGCCATTTTTTTCCCGTCGCACGGGATGTCGTGGCGTGATTTCATTGACTGCGCACGTTACTTTTACGTGTTTCTACGTGCGTTGTACTGATGTAATATTTTTTTCTGTTTTTAAAGCCCTTTTTTTAAGAGTATTATTATTATTATTATTATTATGAACAAAAATGACAGCATAATGCAGTCAAATTAATTTAAAAAAATGATATGAATCATAATGTAATCAAGTTAATAAAGAAAAAACATTTGAAGCGTAACGGTAAATTTTAAATTTGATTATTCTTACATTTAACTTAACATTGATCCCTTTTGATTTGTTCGCACAGGAATGACTGCATCGATTAATCATTTTAGTATGTAGAGCCAAGTGGCAAAGAAAGATTAATATGTGGCTTCAACTGTTGGCGTCAGAGCGGTGGATTGTGGACGTTGGTCGTCGTTTATAGTCAGAGGCGGACTTAGGTAGGGTCCAGTAGGAGTGCAGGACTGTTTCCTCAAATTCAAATTTTTAGTTATATGTGAAAGAAATTTTAATATTTTGTTGCTTCTAAAATCGCCACCTGACCATAAATAAAGCAGCCATTTTGATAAAAAGCCACCTGATAACATTAAAAAAATGATACAAAGCTGGTTTGAACCAAATCAGATGCATTGAAAGAGTATGACAAACTTATTCTATTTCTTAGCTATCAAAAACTAAAATTTATATATATAACATCTCTTAGAAACTCAAAATTCCTCTGTTCAGTACTCTCCCGCGGAAATTTACCAAAAGAAAGGAATTTTAGGTACTATAAAACACAGCTAAATAATTAAAAAGAAGAAGAAGAAGAAGAAGAAGAAGATGGTATGCAGCAATCCACTTGCTTCACAAGCAACAGTTACAGAAGACTATCAATTCTGGACGGCAGCCGCTTGAAGAAATTACTCGGCGGCGACGGCAACTGGCTCCGAAACCTAGGATGCCGGAGCACATACAAACCCGCCACCAGCGCCACCATCCTGAAAGGCGTCACGTACAGAGCCACCGCCGCCACCAAGCAGAACAGAACAAACAGAGCCGTCGCCCTCGGATCCCTCCAACTCAACACCCCCTGCAACCTTTCCCCCTGCGTCGCTACATCCCCCACCACCGTCTGAACCCTCCCCGCCACACTCCTCAACCTATCATACCTCATCCTCACCGCATCGTTCTGCTTCGTCGTCGGAAATGTGTCGAACTCCTCATCCAGCTCATCCTTGTGCGCCGCCTCCGCCCATGAAAGCTTAGTGTCCATGTGTGGCGGGTAACGCGGCCGAAATCTGTAGTTCCACAATCCAATCAAGAACATGTACAAGAACACCGTCGGCAGGATCAGCTCCGGGTACCACAGCAATATCACAAACAGGACGTGCACTAGCACGGTCGTCACCGGATTCCGCCACATACTGACCTCATCCAGCCACCGGAGCATGGAGGCTGCGCCGGACATCACCGACATGATACGGAAAAAGTTGGCCTTGCTCCGTCGCATGCTCCACATATGGGAATCCACATCCAGCATATACTCCACCACCTCCCGCCGCAGCGGCGGGCGTGCTCGGCCAAGCCTCGCGGCCACGATGCTCATGGCCTGATACCGAAGGCTGTCGAGTTGGCTCACGGAGAAGGGCTGCACATAGTGCATCTTCGGAAGCAGAGGTTGGCCGTAGAGATAGACCATGTTGATCAAGGATAGACAGGTGAAGCGCACAGCTAGCTGTAGCTCCCCCATCTTCTTCACACCGGACGGCTGAAGTACAATGAGTGGATACGAGTTTGTGTAAATCCTGTCGGTTTCTAAAGTAGAGAGACGAATGCGAACCTTGCCGATCCGGGAATCCTTTGCAGCGGGCTTAGCGTTGTTATTTGCGCCGCCTTCACCACCGCCGAGATGACAGTTATCGAATACACCTAGAGTGATGACGGTGCAGGGATCGAACACCTCCCATGTATACTGTTCGTTCCATCGCGGGCTGAAGGATTCGAGAATGGTTCTGGTACGAACCCATTTCTGGCTGTATTTCGCGACACAGTAAGCGTCGGTTACGCTGCGGGCATCACGGGTTTTCATCGGGGCAAGGCCCGCCGCGCCGAGAATGCCGACTTCGAGAACACCGATGGGGAGCTTCCAAAGCTGGCGTGCAGTGGGGCGGGTGTCGCTTATGTACATGGTGGACTCATCCAGGACGTGGTAGGCGCCCTCGAGGCAGATGCGGAGGTGTATGCGACTAGCGAAGCGGAGCTCGCGCCGCCGTGGGTCGGGTTCGAGGAATCCTCCGTATCGCTCGAGGTTGAACCAGCGGGAGTGAACGGGGCGGTGGTCGAGCCGTTTCTCGATGGAGGGGAGGGGAAGAAGGAGGCGG